ATTGGGCAAGTCTATAAACTGGAGGCCCTTGTGTCATGACTCGTTTAAGTAACAACTCATTTGATTGTCCCCTCTCGCAAATATTTTGATCTTACTACGTCTGAATGTGTTGTCCGCTCTCGTCGAATGAGCCGCAATTGGCGTCATTTCGTCGCACTGCTGCCACATGTTCGACAATTCGCGTCTGTAGAAGTCCTCCAATGTCTCCAACGTAGTTGCTTTGTCCGCCACTGCACCATCTCCTATAGGCGACTCCAAATGTTTACTTGCCATGGCAGTGAGTCTTTCGATTTCATTGTCTGACGCCTTATGGTCGCCTCTGGTCTGTGTGCTACTCTAGCTCCAAGTTGTGCGAGAAGGCGGCCGACGGTCTCCGTACGTCAAAAATGTCTCAGAGCCCATCGGCCACCCAGCCATCTTCACCTGAGTTGCCTTCTATGGCATACGGAAATGAACTGGCCAGCATGCATATTGGCCACCATGATCGCGAGGTCAAATTGTTGCGCGAGAATAAAAAAGGGCCTTGGTCTCGCTGCCAAACTTCATTTAACAATGGGATTGAACTTCTCGGGGGCCACCAAACACACATTATACAAGTCACAACTACTCAAGCGAAGACGGTTGGTGTCTCAGATGCAGCAATCGAACTACAATACAAGATGCCCATATTGTCACATGTTGCACGCATGGGTTGCTTCACTCCCTCCACCTGGTTCTTTGGCATGGTAAAGTATTCGTAGGATGAAAGCTATTAATTGGACCAGACAACCGTGATCATCCTTTGTGGTTTTCCCTGTGGTATTTAGCGTGCGCGTTATTCCAACTTTCACCCTCATTACCTGCGACACTCAGTTCTCCTTTGCCCTTCCTACTTTAACTAATCGCTCGCGTCTATTTCCTGGGTATAATAGTCTTTTTCTTAACCTGTCTCTCTCCTTCTCTGTGTGTGTGCCAGAACTTGATGACTCTAAAGCAGAACAACGGACGCATAATCATCGTGGAGTACTTTGCTTCGGCAACAGCTATTATCCTCTGCGCCGCCTACCACTTGGAGATGAGTCACAAGACGGGCTATGTGTGGTTTCTGAATCCCTGGCTCTCGGACAAATGGTGGGAGGCACCGGGCATACTGCCGCCACAGTGTACGGGTGAACAGTTGGCTGAAATGAACTCCTACTCCTTCACTGTTGGTCACCAGCTGCACACGGGCGCCCTAGCTGACTCGCGACTAAAAATATCTCAGGACAGTGAGTAATACTCTCTCTCTCTCTCTCTCTCTCTCTCTCTCTCTCTCTCTCTCTCTCTCT